ACTGCTTTCCAATTGCCTAATTTTCATTAGCGTCTACTACGCACTTTCCTCAAATTGCTCGCTGCTCAGCAAGTGAGTGACAACTTTGTGAATCGCGTTGTTTGCTTCGCTGTTAGGACTTTGTAACGTCATAGACATAGATAATAAATGGGACTCGGATATAAGCTTTTCAACGCAAATGGAATCAAATTAAACTAAATTAAAAACTCGTTTCGTTGGCCGCACACCATTCAAAATTGGCACTTCTCCGCGGGCTCCACAATTTTCCTTTGCGGGCCCCATTTGGCCCGTGGGCCGCACTTTGCACACCCCTACCGTAGTAGACCGACATCCAATCACATCTGGTAATTAAATAAATGATTTATACCAGTGGTTCTCAACCTTTTTGTCTTTGCGGACCCTTCTGGTGCTCTCAAAGCGGTCGCGGATCCCTCAATAGTTTTTTATTTGAAATTTAGTTTATAGTTAAACAGTAACCTAATGTTCCATACAGATTTAACCAAGTCAAAAATAACACCAAACTAGTGGACATTTCCATTTATTTTGTCAAATCGAATACACTCTGCGGGATTTCTGCTATTGCATATCAGAATCAAGTCTTGAAATACGTGGTCGTGTTTTTGATAACGATAGACGCATATCGTCTTCGACGTTTAGTTGGAGACGAGCCTTGGATTTGATATGAACGAGAGCACAAAATCCACTTCACAAAGGTAAGTGGAGGCAAATGGAACAAATAACACGTAATGCTCCCATCGCTACTTATTGGTACGACAGCAAAATGGCGCACCAAAACGGAGAAAGTGATCACTGTAGCTGCGTTCTTGAATTTATCATTGTGATATCATATCTCGTATTTGTCACAATAGGTCTACGGGAGATAAATCAAAATAGTTTTTGTAGGCTATTGTCATAGGCAGCAAATGTTCGATCGTATTACAAAAACAAACGATATTAAACTGCAAATAATTTCTTAAAATCTTAATTTAATCGCGGACCCCCTGGCAAAGCTTCGCGGACTCCCGGTTGAGAACCACTGATTTATACTTTAGTTCAACCATACTCACTATCGCTAAAGCACTATGAAGAATTGTAGAATCAGAACATGTATTCGATAAAATAAATAATGCATTTTAAAAACAAGCAACATATTAGCCCAGTTGTTTTGATCTTTGCGAACCTTCCGAACCCCTACGGTATTCTGCTTGCAGGCTTCCGTCGAACCACAGCGTTTTGATTGACGGGGAGAAATATTATTTTGACCACGTAGAAATGCCATTATTGCCGATTTATTCAAGTATTCAGTATCAGTGTTTTATTCCAAAGCGCTGAGTTACGTGAATTCTCAACACTTAATATTAGAGAGATTACCAATTTGCGGAGTTTTTAATTATTATTATTTAATACGAAAGTAACACGGACACGATATAAAATTAAAAGCATGAAAAAGTCAACTATCAGCTTCACTAATATTGCATTCCGGGGTCAGTAATACTGTTCGCCTAAAATTGGGACCTAAATTTGATATTGGGACCTAAACCTGATACTATCCTACAAAAAAGATAAAAAACAGCATAAAATTAATTTGTGTTGTGAATGCACTCCTTAATAGTTGTCTTTGACATCGTCGCCGATGTGAAATCAAATTTCTGTCTAAAAAATAAAAACCAAACTGCGATATCTGTCGTTGCATGAGAATTGATATTTACTAGTGAGTAAAAAGTGCCTTAATATAGTTTATCATCATCAATTAGGATGTCAAGCCGCCGAAAGGATATTCATAAGGGCAAACGAATATCAAATTGTATTATTATTTTTGATTTCGAAACACGTTAAATTTTGCCCAGAAATAACTTAAAATACCACATGAGTTCAACAATGATATTAGGAAGTAAAAATGAAAGACTCAATATCATTCATGTAAACAATTATTAGTTTTTACCAATATATTGGTAAATTACAATGCAATCCTTTTTTTCGAAATCATATTTAAATCCAAAAAGCAAAAACTGAGAAAAATTTGGCAAATGATATTAAAAATTGATATACATCAACAAGGATCAGAAAAATCACACGTCATCAGAGTCCGGAAAACCACATTTTCATATCCATCTCCATCTATTGTAGGATATATATATGTGGATCTAAAAAGATGACAGCATTGCAAATATCAGTTGCTTCGGTATATGTTGCAAACAATTCGTGAATGAACAAATATGATTTTTAATATCTTTTAAATTTCGCACAAATTCAAATAATATTTTCTACTATTTATCTGTATGTTTTGGAATAGTTGAATCAGCAATGATCTATTTTCTAGTTTCACTCTATATGTAATTAGTTTTAAAAAGCTATGTCAAAATTTGTATTAGACAATCACAAATTGTGAAACAAAACATCGTAATTTATCTAAGCTATGAAATTTTAGGAAATTTTGTGACATTGACTTGACGATTGAGTGACAACGAGACTTAAGACTTGAATAATTATATAGAATGAATTAACAAATAAATGAAGCTCATGAAATCAGGATATTATCTTCCTAACACCCTTAAATAGATTAATCAGAATGTACACAAAACATGATTATATCATACCTACATCAATATCTTTTATTTTTGGTGGGCCTATATCGGGATTTTTAGGTGTTTGGTACCCCATAGTTTCGTAAAGGTCGGCATGATCCATTGATGTTCTATTTGAACTTGTCGACGGCGATCCGCAATGTTTAGTTTGGTGGGAACGCTTCGTGTGAAAAATTGCAGCAACCACTAGAATAGTTGAAACATATATACCCACCACAACACCAGCTATCTATGCCATACCTGTAACTAAGAAAAAAAAATTATGTATAATAAATTTTTTCTACAGGCACCTCCTCAATTCCAAAATACAGGAGATAAAAGTGGATCTATACGTTTCAAAACATAACCACAAAGATACATATGTCAATAAATCATCCGCAGCACTAATTAAGTTGAGCACCTTTTAATATTACGACATAACGTACCTATGTGGGTGTTCCTCCTATGGCCACAAAATTAAATAAAAAATTAATGATAAATAAATTTATAATTCATTTCTTGAAATAAACAGGATTGCGATAAAAAGAGACAAAAATAGTGAAATGTATAAGAAACTTGAAGAGCTAGAGTTCTTCAAAATATTTCGTCCATGGAAAATTCTATAAAAATTAAAAAGAAATAATAGTTATGGAATGGATGTCGTCGACCCATCTAAGACTTGAGGTCGCTAAGCCTACCTTGCCCAATAGTAAATCTGAAACTGAGTAGGAAATAGATTTTTCAAGTCACCTCGGTCAGAGACAGAATTCAGCAGCATGATGTCAAAAGTACGTGACTTATTATGTCTTGTTATTGAAAAACAATAAATAAAAGTTAAAATAGATTAGATGAAGCGAACGAATCCAATGTGGTATAAATTGCTCAGGTTTAAAACTTTAACATCATAATTTAATTATTTTGTTGGAGTCTCCACAACCGAGATGTTGCTGCTGAAAACGTCATTGCATACCAATGTTGTCCAAGTGCTGCTTTAAATCAACCACGAAAGCGAATAAAATTTTATCTGCATTTGAATTGTCTTCAATTACAGAAGCATGACTTGCAGAGAAAAATATATCTAAATTTGGAATTATGAGTCATTATAGTAAATGTATTTTCAAACTGGAATCAAATATACGAATCAATAACACACCAACTCCAGTGAATATGGTTTTCATAGAAGTTTAGAAAATAAAAGTTGTTAGTGACAGGAAGTTGCGAAAATGCGAATATTTTTTTGTTGAGTGGTATTTCCAAATGTAAAGAAAACTTTAATTGAATACAAATTAAATTAAACTACTCACCATCGCTGGAACAATTTTTGCCAGAGTAACCCGGCCTGCAGTCCCATCTAAAATATGGATCAATTCCTGGTGTATCCACTCAGCTGTGGAATGAAGCAGCTTTCAATGGCATATAACTTTATTAATATTAAAAACTTTGTAAGCTATTTTTAATTTAATTAATTTTGAATTTAATCTTTGCATACCAGGCATGCTTGTAATGCACTTTCTATTTATGACAAAACAATTTTATTTTACAATTACCATCAAATTCCATTACCAATTGATAATGATGCGCGGCAGTCCATTACAGTAGCTTTGCGATGAAAGTTAATTTTATTGGTTTATTGGACACGAAATGGATATATTGTTTTGATACTAGGTTAGCATTGTTAATGTTTTTATTTCTCTTTTTCATGTTGTTGTTGTGAAAACAAATTGCTTTTTTCTTTAACTACTGGACCAATTGCTTTAAAATTTTCAGTGTTGAAAGATTGTTGTTCATGTACTTCAATAATTTCTATGAGCTCCTTTGAATTCTTTTTCTGTGTGTGATGACGTTATCAAAATTAAAAGTTGCGCATATAGTGGCGGCCGCGCGTCCGTTACAATTTGGTAGACAGACAAAATCGGATTGACTACGGTACGGTACGAGTACTGTAAAATATTAGATACCCTTACTACTTTATTTTGGCTATTGGGTCTATATGTTGAGGCATTGTTTTCTTGTTTTATTTTGCCGTCGTGATCAGGTTAATGTATGAACCGACTCATTTTAATGTAGTAATACCATTTAATTAGCAAACCTGACATTGGCTGTTTAGGAACTACAGAATAAACTGCAAAGTAAATAGATGAAACGAAGGTACTGCAAATGGTGTGATTTTTTGGTACTCCCGAATTATGTGAATCAATATGGCGGACACCGGAACGTAGTATGTGTACGTACCAGATTAGGCCCTAATTTTATTCCAACTTTCCTTATTTTAGTTCTATTACACGTTTGGGGACTAGCTAAGTGACTCCCGTAGTATTTGTACCTGAGATTATGGCCTAACCCGATACACATGTTAAGTATTTTGAAAATTTGGATAACGTGCAATAATGTTAATTCATGATAAACTTTTTTTCATTACTAATCACATTGCTTCTTTACAATTTGGTTGCCGTTACAAAGGTACAACCTTTAAGTGATAGCACTTTTTAGAATTATAAAATCAAGAAATGAAAAAATTGTCAATTTGAAATTTTAACCGACACAACACGAATATATCTATACACTTTTATTATTCTGTTGAAATAGATACAATTAAAGTAGACTGGGAAATCTTAAACATTTTTTTTTAATAATCTCTAGATGTATGATATATCTAATTTCTGTAGATTTTTAATCGTTTTAGCTCAGGTATTTTTTCATTTATAGTTTTGTACTATTAATTCCAGGTAATGCATCATTCATTTCTCCCTCGTAATCTTGATATGGCACTTTTTCGCAACTGCTTACTGTGAAATATCGCTTAAATCATCTTTCTCTTCTTTTGTATCTCTATAACAATATAACATTCCGTTTAATGAAATCTTACAAGAAGAAGTGAAAAGGAAAATTTTATGATTTTTGGTACTGATGATGTCAAGTGTGTATGATTTTTTCCCAGTTACGGTCAATACCAACAAAGTGATGAAGTAACTATAAAAGGCACTGTTGAACAGGAACTAGATCTGACGACTAATAAACATTGACATATGATAAATTCGTAAGAATTTCATCTAATTACTGCAAAGGAGCACAATGTGTTAATTTATGGAAGTATGATAAAGATAACTGAATAAATTGTGCATTTCTTTGAAACAATTTTCAAATTTTATTGAATTCGTCAATTTGCATATAAGCTCGTTCATATCAGCTCAAACAAATTATTTAGGTTGCACTTCATGAAATTATTAGTGAATTAGGTGATTTATATTGCATTGGCTCAGACAAATTGAAAATTCTATTATTTTTTATATCAGGCCTAAACGAGGTAGCTGAACTTAAGCCAAATATGCAAGGAGATATGAATTGGTTCTGATATTTTGCACCAGAATTCATAGATGGCCAAACTGTTAATGTTTAAGTATACATTAAAACTGAGCGTGGAATCGGGCATTAAATTTTACAAAGTTAAACGTATTAACAAGTTTATAATAATTGCAACCTTACTCTAGAAGTCCTCTGTAAAATAGTTCGGCCTCCTCTAACGTTTGAGGCATTGTTTTCTTATTTGTTTCGGGATAGAGTAACGCAAGAAATCCGGCTATTATTCCAAAAATTCCGAATAAAGCACTGGGGAACCAGGGAATATAATCTTGAGCAAGAAGAACGAACGGTGACAATATGCTTCCCCACCTTGCGGCCATCGAACCAACTCCAAGACCGTTAACCCTGAAATGCAATAAATTCAAAACTGCCAATGAGATAAAATGACAAAAATACTCTCGTATTTTATCTAGTTATTTATTATAACAGACATAAAAGTCAAATCGTTGTACCGTGCCGTATTTACCTGATTAATGAAACTAAGTGAACGCTTGCGAAACATCTAAACATGATTCTATTAGAATTTATTTTTTAAAGGATGTTAAAGCCAATTTAAAATGCACCTGACGACTGTAGGATATAGTTCAGCAGTGTAGTTGTATATAATTGCGAAACCCGCACCAGCTCCTATTTTTCCGATAAAGGCCATTGTTACTCCTGTCGTTATGACAGCTGAAATAATAGTGACCCAATTAGAGTCATTTTTATATGGATTAAAGTCACTAAGAGCAAATGGTTCCCTAAAATGACTGACAAGTCTTTATACGGGATGTAATAAACATTATGAAACAACTTCTCTTAATAATAGTTAGGGAACATTATTTGAAATTTTAAATATTGGCAGATATTCAATTGAAATATTGACAATATTGACTCTCTGTTTAATAGCCTTTACCTTGATTTCCATTCGCAAATTGAGCACAAAACATACTTCCAATACAAGCACACCCGCCGAGAAAACATGCACTGGAAAGTAGAATACGACGCCCGATCCTAATAAACAAAATGTGTACGATATAATGCGAATTCAAAGACAGCTTCTAGAAGAATGAAGAAAATTTGTTTTAATATATCATATATATATATCATTATTTGGTACTAAATATAATTTCTTGAATTTGAGTATTGGGTAATCAAATTCAAGTGCACTATGTTGAAATCCGGTGACGGTAAAACACAATTTGGAGTACATCTGCCTCAATATGGATTTTAGATAGATAGGGAACGCTCCTACAATTAATAAAGGATTTATTCGTGCATCAAAAATGTTTCAAATGCTCAAGTAGATAATTTACTCAACAAATGGCCCTAAGTATGTTTTATTTTCAAAAACATCAATTGTATGCGGTAAAAAATATCTGATGTACCAAGTGCCCTTTGTCTTGATATATCTAGCCAATTTTACTCCATAACCCAATAAATATAAGTTAGATTTATATACTAAATAAATGAGATTAAGACAAACTTATGTGGTAAATGTTTTTAAACAAAATATTTGATCACTTGTGATATATGAAAATGTCACACTACAAATTCTGTTTGAAATTCTAAGAAAGAAAAAAACACTCCTCGACATAAGTAGTACTTTCCTACCTATCCATCAGTGCAACAACGAGGAAGTATCCAAATATTTCCATCACTCCATTCAAAGCATTATTAAGAAATATGTTTCCAGACAAACTGCCAGCATTTAACGATAACCCGTAGTACATGAGTGATATCACGAACCTAGTAAGAAATAACCGCTTTTATTGCTCCAGAAAAGGATTGGGCGGAGTATTTAATTCAGATGAAGAACTCAATTTTTGATAAATTATTGTGAATTTTACCATTATAACAAATAATCCATGTTTGGTTTAAAATCTTGGAAATAACTGACAACTTTTGGGTTTATAAACAAAATTTAATTGAGTATTTAAATTAGAAGAAGATCTCAAATTTCCAAATCATTATGAATAATATTATTAAAATGAAAATATATGCATGGTTTACAATCGAGATGGAATTCACAGTCTTTGGGTTTATTAACCATGTGTTGAATTTGTTTCCGATAAAACAACATATTATTTACAGAATTTGCTATATTGCCATTAAATATCTAAAAATTACTTTAAGCGTTATATGAATGATGCATTTACCAACTAAACATAATGTTGCATGTAATAAGTCGCAACCTTGGCTGTTTAAACAAATCTGTAACCGCATATTTCCGTTTCAAAGATTCCTTGTTCACCTGTAACGATTGGAAGAATTACTAACAAAATATATATATTTTTTGATTGAACTATTCAAAAAACCTAAAAAAAAACTTAAATCGTCAAATCAAATAAAGCATAAAAAAATATTTTACGATATCATATATGTATATTTTACATAAATAATTAGTTTACATCTTATTTTATAATCATTTTTTTCTTTCAACATGAAACTGGAACTCGAACGAGTGTTTGTTAAAATCTAAAGAGTTCAAATTCAATTGTCTAACAATATAAAATAAGCAAGCATATGCAAATTACATCGCCTGTATCTGCTATTTCCCAAACTTCTTTGTGAATTTCTTTCTTATTGTGTTTTGCAAACTTGTGTGATAGTTCTTTGCCTTCGTCATCGCGTAAATTTGAAAAATGCCATCGGGGAGATTCTGGAACCTAAGTGTAAAACAAAAAGTTGACAAATTTATGACTATTTTTTTCTTAATACTTCTAAAACACTATAGATTTTTTTACACACGTTAATACTACAGAATCATATGTTTCGTGTATAAATTAAATTAAAATAAAGTAAATTAAAAACCTATTTAAGGATAATATGAAAATTTATTTTTAAAACAACAAGGAATGAACAAAATAATTTGGTGGGTAATAAGAGCAATAAACTGAATCACCAAGTCCTGTATTAAAGATTGGTTTGTATTGTAATATCTTTAGAGGCGATTGCAGGTTTTACTTACCAAAAAATGGAAAAATATGTAAGGTATAGGAGTAAGTGAAATTCCAAGATAAAAATATCTCCAGTCACGCAGTAAGTACGAAAAGAAAGATGCTAAAATGTATCCCACTGCAAATGCGGTGTGGGCATGGATTCCCGTAGGTGTTCGCTTATTGCCAGATATTTCAATTACTGAAAATAAAGTAGGTAACAGTATCTAACTTACTTATCTTTACTAGTACAAATTTTTTTATGACATTTATTTTTAACATATGATATTTCAATAGTTTTGATATTTCATAATAAAAGTTTATTCAACCAAATCTTATAATAATGTGTTGCGAATAAGTAGATTTTTAATTCACAAAGTGTCAGCAAAGTGGAGGCTTCATATTTTTATAAAATAAAAACCTTCAAAAATCTATATCTTCGATAGTTTCAAATGTAGGTTCATTTAAATCTATTACTTTTTTATACAAGTAATCGAGCGATGAAAAAATTTATAATACTAGATGGCTTCTTAGTAACAGGGACCCTTATTGTCTTCTTTGTTTAATTAAATGTTAATTATATTTGCCTATGGCGGTCTTATTATAAAAACAAAATTTAATTTGGACATCTGTGTATTAGTAGAATGATGATCAAAGACAAATGAGAATGTAAATAGTTCAATGAATTTTTTTTGGTAAGCCAGACTAGCGTAATTAAACATAGAAATTCATAAAAATATATACATATAGGATAATATTTCTTTTTGATCATTCAAATTCAGCTTTTCAAAATGAACATTTTAATGATGAAATATTATTTAGTATATTTGCACCATAACTTTTACAAATTCGATTAAAATGCATAAATGTAAAGTCCACAAGTGTTGTCAAATATTGAAATGCCCTTTTTCTTTTTCATATTTTACCACAAATTGAAAAAACCAGAAAAGTGAATGTTTGCTTACATATTTATTTATTTTAAATTCACTTCCCATGGGCCTCACTAGGCTCGAGAGCATTCAAAATTTATTCGTTAAAAATTTGCGGAGAAGGTTTGGAAGATTATTCAGTTTTCTTTCTCGGTAGGCAAATTTGTTTTGTTTAATGGTCAAGTTTTCCAAACAAAAAGTGTTTTCATAAAAAATATCTCGATTCTTCGATTATTGTAAAATATGATTCTTTAACTACGAAACTCTATGTTCATTCAATAAAAAACAATATAACTTTTCGAATTAGGATTTTATAATATAAATAAATAACATTGAATTAATTGAAGAATCCGCTAAGATCACTTTAATTTAGATTAGAACGCGTTTTACTACATTTTTAGGTCTACAAAAATCGAGAAAAGGCATTGGACACCCAACCCAACCTACAACACAAAAATAGATAAACCTTCATACATATACTGCAATAAAAATAGAACAAAAAAGATGCATTCATTTTGTTTGGAAATTGTTATTCTATCTTCTCCTTTACAATGTTATCATTAGTTTATCTGAATATTCTGTTTAAGCTAGAATTCGTTTAAAAACTTACCATACACTGTCATAGCTAGATAAGATCCATGAGAAAACATTGCGACAAAAAACCTGAGTATTGCAAACAACCAAAAATTGCGCGAAAATGCAGTGGCGATACCAAATACCAAAGTTCCAATGTTTGTCGCAAACATAGTTATGCGGCGGCCATATCTGAAAAGAATGATAAAATATATTTCCCATTACTTTATTATATTAAAAATTTAGTTCCTTTTTATTTTTATAATTTGCAGAAAAACTTGAAGATCAGTTGAATATACTGGGATAAAATTAACTTAAAGTTGTACTCACAAATCAGATGTGTAACCAAATACAATTGCACCTGCCCACATACCAGCGAAATAGAACGCAGTTACAGCAGTGCTGATGATTTTCTGATCACATATCATTCCCCACTGTGTAAAATGAACATTGCGTAAAATATTTTATAATCTATATTTTTTGTTATAATATCTTGTGTCAAGATAATATCATACGATAACATCGAAATTTTGTGAGTATTAAATGTAATTAAAAGAATACGTAAGTGAAAATATTTTTGGTAAAACGGAACACTGATTAGAATTCGACAAACCCTGTGCAATGTAAGTTTCATTTTCATCATATATATGTATAAATACAAAAAACATAATTGATAATTTATGTGCATTTTTAAATCTGCATTTTAAATCTGCTCTTTATTTATACTGTGTTGTATATATATATACATGCATTAAAAATTTGAGTGTAATGTATTACAACGCGAAATTTAGGTAATTCCTACCGTGGTATCAACTGTACTTGTGAATTCCGTAGTATCAAACCAATATCCCATATCACATTTGATCGCTGGTGATGATTTGTTGACACAATCAAACGTACCATTGCATTCACTCAAGTCGTATCCATACCTGAACAAAGTTGAACGGTTTGTTTTTGTTTTTTAATGCAGCCCTTACTTATATAAGTTGTTGAAGTTTTTATTCTGTTTTGCAGGCAATATTGTTTTGTTACAGCTTTAATAAACTTGATTTATATAACAAAAAAATGATTATGATGATTATTCACTTGTAATGAACAATAACAATACGCATTATCGAATTCTGTTTCGCACAAATTTAATATAAGCAACGAATTCATATATCACACAAACAATGCCAGAAACTGTAAAAAAAATTTCAACTAAATAGACGCATGGAATGAGCTTCATTTTACTTTTCCAATGTGAATACATACATACTCAAAATTTCAAAAATCCAAAGCCATTTTATTTATGAATACACAATGCAAGGTCACAAAATTTTAACTATGTTTGTCAACAGTATTCAAAAAAGCCTTCAGGACAAACATTATCCAGCAAAGTTAATTAGTGATAAAATGAATGCAGTATTAAACCAACCGTTCACAAGTTTCATATTTCCCGGATTTGTAAGGTGTTGTAAGATTTAGTATGTCGCTCTCGTTTAAATTCGGATATACTGTTGCGTTGTCGATTGGAGGAACATTGCATCTGAAAGCAACACCAATTGAACGTTTTGTATAGGAGAGTGGTTCCCAACGTTCCTAACCGGGCGGACCCGTAAAATTAAATTTAATGTACTCGCGTAACGGCAAACATTGAAATGACCAGAACAGAAAAGAATATATTTGCGTAATATGGTACAATGTCTGACACTCAATATGCTAGGGGTATTCGTTATCGAGAGATATTCAAAATTGTGACAGTGATAATTTTTTAAATCTGGACTGTAAAGTAGAATCACAATTCTAATCAAGCCTTTTCTTTTTTATCGGGTTTATCAGATTAATCTGGACTGTTAAGGAGAATCACAATTCTAATCAAGCCTTTTCTTTTTTATCGGGTTTATCAGATTAATTCCTGCAGTTGATCGATGCCTCAAACGAAATGAATTTACATCACAATTACAAAGTCATCGGCAACTTAGCACCTGGTTCAAAATACTACTGCAAAAGATTCCACGCTTTTTTATACGTCTTCTGATCATCTGCAGGATGGCAACAAATTCATGACTTACTGGAATATTATAGTGTTCTTGGCTGTTTTTTGGTTTAAAAAGAAATATGAATGGTCATATCAAGCAAGAAAAGCACGTGGAACAGAATAGGCACGCGTGCCTATTTTTAGGTTTCTGAATCTGGTGAGATTTGATGGAGGGTATTCTAGACTAGAGGAATCCGAGCCGAAAAGGCAAAGAGTGTGATTACTCGGCGCCAAGATGTCGCAATATGACGGCGGGAGGGAAATTGCGTGATAAACCAACGCAAATTCGTCTTCGGTAAAGAGATTGAGACGGTATAAAAACAACAAAATAACGAAATTTCTCGCGGACCAAGAAAAAAGCGTCGCGGACAGTCAGCGGTCCGCGGACCGGCGGTTGGGATGAAAATACGCTGTGATGGAAAATATGTGCCAAACCCATGCCATTCCCTAATTTCAATACGAATAATAGCAACATACCTGTAGTCAATGGGAGGAGCGTAAAATACGGAAGCCAAATTATGCAATCCAGATGGTATTCCTAGCCAATACGTCAGAGCGCATAACATAATTTGATATCGGCCAAGATGGCCGACTGTATCCAACACAATATCAAATTCGATCATTTTCTATTTCTGTCTATTATATGACCTGTTTATTTTTAAAAAGGAAAAAAATGCGAGCGTTGCAAAAACATACACCAAATGAAAGGATTTATTCCTTCATTATATTTTATATATCGGACGGTTTCAAATATAACATAATGCTCAATTACTGACATTACTTACTGACATATATAGAATTTTTATCATTTCATAAATATGTTAAAATGGTATAAATCTTGAGATACAGATTGAATCCTAATTATAATATGACTTTGGTCCTGATAAATTGTGAAACTATCCAACAATTTTATTAATTCAACAAAAATAAAGTATTTTGTTCGTGTAGGTTTTTGGATAATTCACGAAAAATATTTACTCAGTATCAAAGCATTGTAGTTTGCGATAATCCAATAAAATTTCTGCAAAATAAACACTAATTTGTGCGATAAATCATGAAAATAATTTTTGGTGTATTTGAATATTTAAACATGCAATGCCATGGGATATATCTACGTTATGCACATCCATCCTGATAAAAGCAAGCACCTTTTTATTTATCATTGTGTGTAAAACGGCAAGCAATACTGTATTAGTATTTCAAAGTAACACTCTATTTTTTCAAATAATTAAATTCAACTTTTTGCAGAAAATTGAACAAAATTTAAATGAATGAAATTAGCAACTTTTTGCCGTCCTATTAGTTAAAACTTTTTGCTTTTATTGGTACCCTTACCTTTCGTTCACACCCAACCTTATTTATACCTTGTTCTGAATCTATACCTTTTTTGTAAAATCTCATCCGCATATTTCTACAGGTTCTAAATCAAATTCTACTTGCGAAATAACGAGAGATCAAACAGAACTCGAAGTTTATAACGCTATGAAAGCAGTAAACAAATGTTTGCTTATTTAATGGCTAATATTAGCTCAAGAAGCGCTGTCGCAGAAAGTACTCGAACTCGGGTTTAATTCAATAGACCCAAGTTTTTTCAAATAGGAGTAACCATATACAAATCGTGAAATATCATTAAATGCTTTTATAGGGCCTTGTTCTGAGAAAATGGAGTAAATAGAATTTCCCCGATAGTTAGTTGAATCTACGGTATGTTACATGAAAAATATATAGTATGAAAGGAAGTCCTGCATTGCTAAACAAAGTATGTAAGGAAAGCTATTGCACCAATATATCTACTAACACACTTGTTGACAGTTATGGTATTTTCTTCTGTTTTAAATATGAAAACAAGTTTAAGAATTCATGTTTTTTTTGGAATATTTTCAAATGATTATAAAAATTACATATTTGTCACTTTTGGGACCCGGAAATGATAAGTCGATTTGCCAGACTCGTTTTATTGAAAGTATTCAAAACGGTTGACTAAAATACAAATGACATAATTAGCACCAAATAAATCAAAGACAAATGATACAGAATATAAAACTAATACTTACACAAAACAACTCCATATAACAGCATAGTCCCAAAACGACAGATATACAACCAAGGTAAAACAGTAACTATAAATGCAATACCATACGAGCTGTAGACATGCAAATATCATAATGTTATATCGAACGATTCGAAATACAGTATAAAAAAAGACTATTGAATGAATTCAAACTTCAACGTTATAAAGGCGATGTAATCTTAAACTGCCATAACAAGAAATGAAATCCTAAACTGCTACCACCAGAAATGCAATCTTAAACATCTTGCTGAGCTTAGGGGACGATAATAAAATAAATACGTAACACGATAACACGTGAAAGAGAAAAATGCGACACGTCGAATACGAGAAAACAACACAGTAATGATGACGACGACGAGATAGCGATAATCATCACGATGACGATGCACAACTGAAGGAATCCTAACTAAACTAAACTTTAGGACCACACGGACTGCCGACAAAGCCACCCCATGACTATCCGCAGGAAGTCATTCTTCTAGGAGGCAGATTTTCGATGCGGGTCGAATATGTATGCCATTTATAGTTTTAACCGCGACAGTTCGGACTCGTCCGTCAGAACCAGGGTAAATTTGAATAACACGACCAAGTTGCCAACGTCCTCTCGGTGCAACGGGGTCAGAAACGAGCACCAGATTTCCTTCTTGTAAGTTTCGTTGTTCCTTCCGCCACTTACATCGTGTCATCAAATTCGGGTAGGTAATCTTTTCGCCATCTTCTCCAAAACTGATTACAAATAGCTTCGGTTTGCCTCCATCGTTTTCTGTAGCATAATTTCATCACGTCTGAATCCAGTGGAAACACTTCGGCCGAATGCCCTTTCAACAAACAATTTGGTGTAATGGCACTAAAGTCGGTTGGTTCGTCGCTCACTGTTGTAATGGGTCTACTACTCATGATGTCGGTAACCCTCGCAAACGCGGTCTTCAAGACTTCGTCGGTTACACGCACATTCCCCAGAACTGCTTTCAAAGCACGCTTTGCGGACTTTACTAATCTTTCCCAAACGCCACCAAAATGGGGAGCGTAAGGTGGAGTGAAATGCCATTCAATATTGTGTTTTGGGCACAGTTCTGCCACGCGAGATTCATCTATCGAGTTAGGGACGGTTTTCAGCTCTCGGGAACCACCAACTATATTTGATCCGTTGTCCGACCATATTTGGGATACAGGTCCTCGTATCGCAATGAAAGACAAAAGTACACATATGAAGGAATCAGTATCCATAGTCCATGCCATCTCAATGTGTACAGCTCTCATTGAAAGACAACAAAACAAACACCCCCATCGTTTCTCTAAAACCCTGCCTCTCTTTGTTTGGATCGGGCCGAAGAAATCCAGCCCGACATTTTCGAACGGTCTTGCTTCAGTAACACGAACTTTGGGCAGATTCGACATCAGTGGGGTTCTGCAACTTGCTCGGCGTCTTTTACATTCCCAACAATTATCAATTATTCGTTTGACAAGTTTTCTCCCTTTTATATGCCAGTAGTGCTGTCTTAATGCGCTAAGCGTGGCCTCTGGACCGGCATGTGCGAGTCGAATATGAGCAGCTTTCATTATCAACCATGAAATTCGACATGGGCAGTTCGAATCACATTTCAAACTTGAATACGGCAGTATAATAGGATGTTTCGAACGCAGTGGGATATTGGCATTTTCAAGACGGCCCCCGACGCGGATCACTTGTCCATCGAAAAATGGCGTCAGATTAAGTAACGTTGATTTTGATGATAAATCTTCTCCGGTTAGTTATGCATTTGCGCTCCACGCGGAAATGCTTGTTTTGAGCAGAAACTATCCAATACCGGCCCGCGAGTTCCAACTGTTTAGGAGTCACAAGTTGAGCTGGCAGCGGGCTATACGTCGGACATTTCACAGAAAGATTCTTAAAATACCGAGCTGCCAACAAAACCACGGCAGTTCGTTTGCATAAGGAAAACCACGAATCAAAACGTTCGACATCGACGACCTTTTCGATTTCCGAATCAAGTACTCCATCGCTGTTATCCGTAGTTATAAAACAATCTGCTAGTATGCATGTTTGATATTTAATCTCTTGGTCGTGGTCGTCAACTGCACGTAACGCTATCTGGCTTGGCCAATCACTTTCGGGCATGAGCAAAAACTCTGTCCATGTAGCCATCGATCAGAATTTTCTAGAAATTTGGAAACCGTCATTCCCCTAGTGCAGTAATCAGCGGGATTCTGTGCGGAGTCGACGTACTTCCATTGGTGTGGCCGAGTGTGATCGAGTATTTCGCGAACGCGATTGGCTACAAATGTTTTAAATCTTCGAGTTTTATTTTTTAAATATCTCAATACACAAGTCGAGTCGGACCACATATGTACGTCGCCTAGTGGAAGGGATAGTTCTTTTCGGAGAAAATTTAACAATCGCACGGCCAAGAGAGCACCTTGCAATTCTAAACGAGGCACGGTCATACCTTTCATAGGTGCGACTCTTGCTTTAGCCGCGATAAGACTACAACTGAAAATTCTCCCGGGAATGCTTCGATATTATGTATGCTACCGCGCCATATGCCACTTCTGATGCATCACAGAATATATGAATTTCATACGAGGAACTTTCACATTTAACACCTTTAAATTGACGTGGAATCGAAAAACTCTTTAAACATTTCAGCGAATTTATCCAATTTTCCCAACACTTCAATCTCTTATTATCAAATACTTCGTCCCAAGCTAAGTTGTCACGCCAACATTCCCGCAGTAATAATTTGGCATACAAAATGATTGGTGCTACAAATCCTAATGGATCGAATATTGAACTGGTTACACTAAGGGCCTTTCTTTTCGTGGTAAATTCAGTAAATTTCTGGTGGTCGAATATAAAGCAATCCTTCCCGATGTCCCAATGCAAGCCCAGAGCTTTTCTAACAGGTAATCTGTCCAGATCTAAGTCAACATTAGTGACGACACGTCCGCTGGATATTTCACGTAAAACCGATTTAGAATTCGAAACCCACTTGGTCAAGTTGAATCCTTTATCGTGTAACATCTTAATCATATCTTTAGCTGTCGATACCGCGGAATCAACATTCCATTTCGAAGTAAGTAAATCATCGACATAAAAGTCTCTATCGGTAGTTAATATTACGTCTCTAGGAAACTTGTTTCTACTATCGTACGCAGCTCTCTTCAAACAAAAGTTTGCGACATAAGGTGAATCCACAGCTCCGAAAATACGAACTAAGAATTTATACACATCTGGCCGTTTGGTTGAAAAAAGGTCTTCCGACCAGAGAAAACGTGCAGAATCCGTATCATCTTCCGGCAATCGAATCATATGAAACATGGCTTCTATATCGGCGCTTATAGCGATTGGTCTTTCCCCCGAAAACGTAAAAGCACCCCGACTAGATTATTGATCAAATCGCGCCCGGACATCAATCGACTGTTCAGACTGACGCCGCAGCAAGGAGATGCCGCGTCAAAAACAATTCTTAGTTTATTTGGCTTGTTGGGATTTTCAACGCCATGATGAGGCAGAAACCAAGTTCGAGGACCGCGAAACGCCTTTTCATCTGAAGTTAGCTTACGCACCCAACCCCTTT